GAGAGAGAGAGAGAGAGAGAGAGAGAGAGAGAGAGAGAGAGAGAGAGAGAGAGAGAGAGAGAGAGAGAGAGAGTGAGAGAGAAAAAAAAAAAAGACTTACAAACAAACTGTTAAATGCAACAACTCAACCACTTATTATTGAGTAGGGGAAAAACATAATAGTTAATTAAACAGTTGTGGTATAGAACGGGTACGGGGGGGGAGTGGGCGTAACCTCTCCCCCTAACTACAACAAAATCTTATCGACCCATCTCCTGTTTGCGATATGCGTGAATGCCAAGTTGTTGTTGACATTCTAATGTGGTTCGTGGATACTTCATACATGACTTGCCGACATTTAAACGTTATTCGTATATACTCCACACACGACAAAACTATAAAACAAATAAAAGATTGCACTACCATGTTTGCTTTGTGAATTCATTGAGTGCAACTGTACTTGTCAAACACGTAAGTATTTTGTAGGAACGAACCATAATATTAAAGTACACAGTTGAAGGTTTGCCCTTCTCCTCGGCAAGAAGATTGGCATTTGAAATATGTGAGAGATACTAAAGAGAATAGTTTAGGGGGTGAGAGTCTCCCCTTCCTGTAAGGTTTTAGTAGTATGTATTTATATATCAATGTGATTGATGACTTACTCTTATCCTGCCTTTAAAAATTCCTCGACATGCAATAGACTACAAAGCAGCATATGATCTTCATAACGTGCTTTAACAATTACCATAATAGAATATTTTGGAGATACCAATTTTTTGTCATTTTTTGGTTCAGTGAGATTTAAAGGATCTCATCGTTCAACCAATTGTTGAGAATGTAGCATGTGTTGCTATTCGATTAGGAATTAAGTATGTTGAAGTGAGAATCAAAGGTTTAGGTTATAAAAAACCTTCGGTCAATTTGTGAATCAGTTTGATTTCAACAGGTGATTATTGACACCGGTCAGTCTGGAACTGTTGTAACTTGGACTCACCATGCTATATTAGTTGGTTTAAAACAACAATACCAATCCTCGCAGTTATTAAATAAAGTTACCCGTTCTACTGACAAGAACTGTCAATCAGACTCCATCCTTCGTCCTTATTTGAAATATCACTACTGACATAAAACATACTTTATAACATTTTGTCAAATAGTTTCCCCCTTTTGGAAACTTGACAAAATTTAACATAAACATAACACTTCGCTAAATGGCTGCCCGTAACTTTTTTAATTTACAGCTCTAAGGCTCGATATAGTGTTTTGGCGTGTTTATGTCAAGGTGGAAAAAGTTTGGCGGCAGACGATCAGTTAAAAAATAAGCATACCAGTGGTTGAACTTTTGTGATTACCGGTTTTCTCATTTTTGCGAAATTTCTGTTTGGTTGTCCACCAATATCTTTGGAAGTCGAAGGAGCAGTCCTAGCTTGTAACTGAATGCTAAACAGAGAGGTCCAAAGTATTAAATTTTTTTTTTTTTTAGGTTATATGATATTGAGGATCTAACAATGGGTAATAGGTTGTGGGCAATGGCTTATTGCGATATATTAACTATACTTTATTTTAATTTTATGCATGCAAAAAATATCAAGTTGTTGAAAAGAAAAACAAAAAGTCAGGAATATAAATTAAATGAATGATTTCTAATCATTAATTCTTTTATTTTTTCAAGGAAGAAAAATGATGGCAGTGAAATAATGCATTATTTAATCCTTGTCGCTCCTTGTAAGCCCCATTTTTCGGGCTCAACGGGCTAGACTTGATAATCACAGTCATAAGGTTGCGGTATAGTGGGTTCCCGTGATGTCTTCGCAACCCTGAAACTACTATGGTATAGCGAGCGTCGTGGTTGTGTCAAGGTGGTGTGAATTTTTGTTGTTATCGATCGCCTAAAGAGAGGTACAACTAGTGTAGAAGTTTTGTGATTGCTAAACTGTTGCATTTTTGTTTATAACCCTAAGGATGTGGTATAGTGGGTTGCCGTGTTTATGCCAAGGTGGTGTATTTTTGTGGCGGGCTGCTGTCTAGAAAGGAGTATAGTGGGGTGAGAGTCTTAGAATGACCGATTCTTCAAATTTTTGTTGTCCTACAACTAACTTTTTACCCAACCAGTATCTTCAAAATTGTGAGAGCGAATACTACATTGTCACTATTAGCCAAAAAAAGACCCAAAGTCTTGGAATAATATAATTTCCTTGGCTAACTGATCTTGAAGATGAGGCAGGCGGTCAACCACTCACTGCAAAATATTGAGTGCGCCTACTTTAGCAAGTTTTTCATGATAATAATAATTATTCAACAAATCTGAAACAAAGTTAAAAAAACAAAATCAGAATTTCTTCATGGCAAAAGAAATAATGGTAGTTAAGGATGCATATTTTTCTCTCTATTGTTACAAGTAGCAACTGTTGTTTTGGCTCAATCGACCAGACTCAAAATTTGCAGCCCTAATGTTAAATGATAATAGGTTCCCGTGTTCGTGTTCATAGCCTTACGATTGCGGTGTGATGGGTTCCCACGTTTGTGTTAATTAACCAGTACACAACCCAAACCTTATAAAAAAAATCGAGTTGCCAACTTCAAAACTTACACGGCTTAGGGCTACCGAACCACAATTGTTGGTGTCGCCAGCCAAGAAAAGAAAAAAGTGCGCCGCTGACGGTTCAAAAAAGCTTGGATTGCAATGCAGCGCCTCCACACAGGGGTGTACTGGTGCTACATTGCGCGCCGAGCTGCATTGAAGTGGGTGACTGTCCGAAAAAGAGGTCAACTGGGATGAACGTTCACGGTGAATGACCTTCGCCTTTTTGTGGAGGACCAATAGAGAACTGT